TTTAATACAAAGCTTTAAACAAAGAAACGTGGGAAATGCATGGTTTCTATTGTACGAGACCTCATAAGAAAACAGAATGTGGAATCCCAGTTTGTATGACAGATAAGACAGTTTAGGGCAGGCATGGGGCTAGCCATCCTGGACTCCAGTTTGCTTACAGTTTATCATGAATGTAAACACGTGGATGGCTCATTTATGGAAAGAAATCAAAAAGCTGTATTTAGATTGGATGAGGGATGATCCCACATGAAAACAGAACAAACCATTTCTGCACAATTCTCATTTCCAAACTGCCTCTCTCCTGGAAGGTTTTCGCTAAACTTGCAGTACAGAACAGGCACTGATCCCTCACTACACTTCAGACTTAAACTTCTTTATTCCCACTTAGTAGTGTTGAGAAGATTTTTCCAACCCCAATCATGGAAGAGAAGAACGATAAGCAAAAGATGACACAATATTGCAATACATTTGGGTCACTTGATGGACTAATGGTCACATGGACTAATTCTTAATTCCTTCGTTCTTCTTACTGCCTTTATAAGAGAAATCTATAAATGTCTTCAAGAGTGCCCATCTCAGTGGCTTGTGAAAATGTAATTTCTGCCTTTATCCTGTTTGTTTTGGTTTGTTGTTTTTTTTTGGTTTGGTGTGGGTTTTTTTATTGGGGAATATATTGGATTTATAGTGAACTCCATTTTTCCATGTGTACATCAAATAAAATTACATTGTTGTCTTTGCTGGAAGCTAGATTCCCCCTCTTCCCCTCCCCCTTCACCAGTCACAGGCTTTGTCCTTTATTGTAGAGAGTTCAATGTATCTTTGTTTGCTTTTTGTCTTCATTTACCCTTCTAGCTTCAAAGAGAGAACAACTGAGAGGCAGCTCCTTCAACAGGTTGTTGGAATTTGTCTTGTCTTCCTGGTTGTCTCCCAGGCTCATGTGCAGGGTTGTCTAAGGGAAGCGTTACCTAATCATTGTGCTGCTACAACTGGTATCTTAGTTCTCTAAAAGTTTTGTAGATTAACTTTTAGAACAGTGGTTAGGTTTTTTCATACTTTGTCATTGTTCTTAAATTGAGCTTTTACAGCAACAAGTAAGGCAGTTTGTTTTTTTTTAACTGAGATTTTAATTTGTTTCAAAAAACTTTTTGCTGTTTGACTCCTTTCAGAAATGCAGTTGAGGAACAGCTGATCATCTAAAACTGACCACTGTGTATTTAGTTAGCTAAAGTTTGCATTTCTGAGTTTTGTTTTCAGTGGTGGCCTGCGATCTGCTTGCTGTAGTGGAGTAATTTGTGGAGGTCATGTGACCTCAGTCAAAGCTGAACTGCTGAGATTTTTTTACATACTTTTCAGTCTCTGATTAATTCCTGCTCTGCTCAGATATTCTGCTCTTTTCTGTGTAAGATTATTCTTCCCTAACTGATCTACAGAATACTCGTGGGCCTCTTGAAAAGTTCAAAATTACCTTAAGCCTCCTGATCTCCCAAAAAAGAAAGGGACTACACAGCTTTAAAAAGATTGTTGCAGAGTGTTTACTGTAACCTCAGCAGGTGGTTAGACGTGTTTGTCTAAGAAAAAACTTAAAATACTAATTTCTGTAAGGAGTTGGGAGGGAAGTTTAACAGACTGAAAGAGTGAAACTATACTCTGCAGAGAGTATTAATTCCTGTAAATAATTAAAAGTAAAGGATTTTGAGTGACTAGTGAGGCGGTGTACTACAGAAAGTTTTGTAATACAGCATTTGACTAGCATTTGAAATCCAGATGTAATTATTTTGTATTTCAAATGTGCTTAAAATTTGTCATCTGGTTTCTTATAGAGCTGATCCTTTATCCAACATGGTTCTTACTTTCTCTACTAAAGAAGATGCCATTGCCTTTGCTGAAAAAAACGGTACGTATTGTATGTATTGGGTATGAGGGATTCAGCTTTCTATAGGCAGTCTTGATGTCTAAGTATTAACAACGGAAAAAAGTACAGGATAAAGTATCTTCCCTCTATTTCGCGAAATCAGTAGACCCTTAGTGCTTTACTTGAGGAAGAGGAAAATGGAGGGGAATATTTCTGAGGGTGCTGAAGGCATTGAATCTAGGCCTTTCACTTTCTGGAAGAGTGTTCTGGCCTCTTAGCATCACTATTACAATGCTTTTGCAAGTATCTGTATTTTGAATGAGAACTGAGCCTTTCTCAGGTCTTAGAGAAAAGTGATATTAATACTTAAGAGTATCCGAGGCTGGGGCTCCCAGCTATGTAGCAGCGGGATTTTTGCCTGAAGGCTTGACATAAACATCTGAATTCTAGTTAAGGAAAGACTGTCAGAACCTTTGTGAATGTTTGATAATGAGAAAAAACTAAAATTGACTACCAGGTAAACATTGTTGGACTTGGTTTTGGCCATGTTGCAAAACAGATTTGTTGTAGAATCATAGAATATCTCTAGTTGGAAGGTACCCATAAGGATCATTAAGTCGAACTCCCTGCTCCTCGCAGGACTACCTAAAAATAAACCGTATGACTAAAAGCATCGTCCAGACACTCCTTGAACTCTGACAGGCTTGATGCTGTGACCACTTCCCTGGGGAGCCTGTTCAGTGACCGACCACCCTCTCGGTAAAGAACCTTTTCCTAACGTCCAGTCTGAACCTCCTGTGATGCAGCTTCGTTCCATTTCATTGTGTCCTGCCACTGGGCACCAGAGAGAGGACATTAGCACCTCCCCCTCTGCCACCCCCCCTTGAGGCAGTTGTAGACTGAGGAAGTTACAACTAACTCTTCCCAAGTATAATACTAAAGTCTAAACGCTTACACTTGGTGGTGTTTTGTAGTTGAGAAAAAGACAGTAGAAAAGTCAGTATTGTTACTTAATATTTTTAATCCTGATGATGTATCAGAAGGACTGTATCTGTAAACTAACTTCATTATTTAGGCTTTTATTGTCTCACAGAATTATGGTACCACAAGCAGTATCCATAATCCCAGCCTTTTGAATATTTGGCAGTCCTTTTATGTGCTGGTATGATTTTTATGCTGTGTTTTGTGGGTTTTTTTAAATCAGTTTCATTTTCCTTAAAGAGCTAGCCTTAATGCTTAGTGCTCATGGATATGAAGAAGATTAATTGGTACTGAGTTAGAGCTAGGAATGACACACATGGAGTAAGCTTCTTCAGAAGTGTTCCTTGTGGTCTACAGCTTTCAACTTTATTTAGTCTGGGCTAAATAGATAGCAAAGTTTCTTGGTCAGGCGAAATTATGCAGTTGTTAGACGGCTTATGTTGTACACTGAAAAAACAGGATAAGTCCATTAATGTATACAGTTAACAAGCTAAACAATTTAATGTGCAATTTCTTTGCACTTTTAATGGCAAAGGCTAGTATTTATTTCCTCTGTTTCTCTTTGAATGGATATTTATTTAAACTTAGTAGTCTTAATTTTATTGAAAAATAAATTGTATTCATTAAGAAATTAATAGGATCAGCATATTTGCATTGGGTATACTAATTACTGTGCAATGTTGATAGTATTTTGTAGCATTTTGTTAACAACTATGAAATTTGGGAGAATCTGCTGTTGCTTTACTTATGCTTCTCTTCATGTATTTCTATTTCTTGAGAAATTCAGCCTATAAGAAAAAAAATGAATCCTGGCCTATATATCGCAATATTAATGAGCTACTTATGTCATCTCTTTGGACATGTTATATTTTGTTCTTTCAAAATGCAGATTCAAGTAAAATACTTGATTTGTTCAGTGTGGAAAGTTTATGCCTTCACTGAATTAGTAATGAATCTCCATTGTGCAGGAAAACAACAAAGAAATTCTACCAACTAAACTAAGGTTATGACTTAGTATTAATATTCTTAGTTCAATATTCACTTAGCTTGCACCCTTAATTTTACCATAATTGAGATGTACCAACCTCTTCTGTGGATACTGGCTTCCTTAAATTATTTTTCCATTTGCGTTTAGATTTAGGGTTAGTTTTATGCATATGATGTATGCATAATATTTTCTGTAGTAATAGCTTCAGTATCGGACGTAGCTGGAAATGCAAATTTCACAATATTTAGTTCTGCTTTTAGAAAGAAATAAGAAACTTAGGCACACATTTACGATGGAACTTAGCTTCTAAACTGAGGTGTTACTGAAACATGCCTAAATCTAGGAACACAAATATTTACCTCTCTGTCCTTCCCATACGAACACCCAAGTTTTCCATTACAAAATTCCTTAAGAACCTCAAGTTTAATTTCTGCAAATCCTAGATATTGCAAGTATTTTGATATGGTTGGGAAACCTAACAGTTCTTTCTCACTTGAGAACTTCAGGAACCTGAGGCAAACTGTCTTTCTGCCTGCCCCATCTGATGTGTTTTCTAATGTAGCACTGAATACAGTAACGGGAGAGCTCTCTGTCTAAAATGTGACAGCTGAGGATGTTCTGAAGTCAAGGCAAGGAGAAAACACTTGTAACTGGATGAAATTAAAAGTTTAGTCTGTGGACCTAAATTCTTTTTTTGTCCTGTCCGACATCACCAAGGCAGTTGTTTAAAAACAAAACAGCTTTAATAACAAGGATGGAGAGTTTTTCTACTCCACAATAACCTTTGGTCAGGTGATGAGGATGTTCTTCCAGAGATGATGAAATCTGCTTTCTATCCACTTGGCTTGTATTGCAGGGTTCTAGGCAAGAATAATCTCCCCCACTATTGTGGTATTTTTACAAAGTGATCTGTGCTTTCTGTCATCAAAAAGTGAAGGTGACCAACTCAAGGATATGTGTGAAACCTTATCACATATGGTGGCCTCTTGCAGTCCAAAGTTAGATGCAACTGACTTTGTGGACTTTGGATAGCTACGGCAGCCCAAGTCATTGTGCTGGCAGTTGCAAATCTCTTTTGGAGGCACTTGGCTGCTCTCTATCTAGTGTGTAGAAATATGAAGCAATAACTTGAGGCTGTAGATTCCATTCCAGCAGCAAAGTGCCTCGAAGTTAGGTGTTACGATGCTGAATGTTGCAATACCAAAGTCTGTCTCTGGATCGAGTTCTGGCTGTTTACTAAAGCTTATATTTTTAATCAGAACAGGAGGCAAAAGCCAATGCTCTCACAGATGGAAAGAATATGTTTTTAAAACCTCTATTCCAGTATTTCTTAGGGAGAATAGGTAACTTGCAATTAACATTGGTTCAGCCTCATGAGCATGAAGAAAATGTTTGTGTGACATTTGTGAGTAGACAGAATTTAGGCAGAGTGACGTAACAACTTATATATCTTACAAAATGTGTTTTGTTGTGTAGATGTATCTTGAGCATTTTCTGTGAACATCTTACATGTAAAAATTAAGATACACGTTCAACCTTTTAGTACTTGGCAAGTTTGTGTTTTAAAACTTAAGGAAAAAAAGTATCATCTTACTAGTATCTGTTAAAACTGCATACTTAACCACTTCTAGCTTCAACGAGTATCTCAACTTTGAGTGAAATGTTGCAGCTAAAGAGACCAAACTTTGGAGTACTGAGTGCTGCCCTGGCAACTTTCCAGGCACCTGGAGGCTGCAACCAATTTGCATTTTGATTTACATAAACACTAATGTCTCCACCTCCTCTTTTCTGACATTTTTTAGCATTTCTCTTGCTTAACTATCACATAATTTACTTGTCTTCTATCACTTCATTCCTTTTTCTTTTACTCCAGATTTTTTATGTCCTTATAAAAGTGTTAAGTACTAAACTCCTTTCTAATGCTGAAGTTTTTTCTTTGCTCTTCCTTTCTTTGGTCCTCCCGCCCTTCTTTTTTCTCTAGCTTTCCAAGGTCTCCATTCTCTCCCAACCTTTGGGATTGTTCTTCTGTATGCTATTTTTTTCCACATTGCTTTATCTTTATTTTCGTTTCCTGTTGCAGTATACACGGAGCCTTAGTGCTTCTGTGATGCTATGGAGTCTTGCAGCCGTGCAGGGACAGTCAGAGTTCCCTGTTGAGCTTTTCGCTGATGACTGTCAAGTTTTTTGCAGGAGTAAAGAAAATGGAGGTACATAGTATGGTGAAGTCTTACCAGCTGAGAGAATTCTGGGCATATGTCACATCTATGGCGTTTCATTATTCTCTGCTGCCAGCTACAAAGGAATAAACTAGTGGATGCCTCTGTGGAGAAAAAGATATTAAAGTTAAAATGTTTAAATTGCATTTGCTCATTATTGTGTGTTCAGAATATTTAGAATTCTCTTTGTCTCTTGTCTCTCCCCACCATTTTCCCTGTAACATCCAGGCTGGAGTTATGATGTTGAAGAGAAGAAGATTCCAAAACCTAAATCCAAGTCTTACGGTGCAAACTTTTCTTGGAACAAAAGAACAAGGGTGTCTACAAAATAGGTTGGCATTGGCTGTCTGACTGTGAATGAAGTCAGCTGTGCTATATTTATAGTCCATGTATAATACATCTCTTAATCTCCTAATAAATTTGACCTTTAAACTACAGATGCATCTTGTGATGTCTATTTAAAATGTTTTTGATGTCTCCAATTGAACCTGTTACAAACTTCCCTATAAATAGAGGAGATTTGGAGTGTTCATACTTCTAAAAAATTGCTGCACTAGGAATCTATCAAAAGGAATGTTTGAAATCAGCTGCAACTTTAAAGATTATGGTTTATCTTTGGTGGTAATTTTATATTCACTATCTTGTTCAAACTTATCAGCCTTGCCTATACAAATTCTTTCAATAGAAACTGGGGTTTTTTCTTTCTATACAAAAGAAGTTTGTCAATTGAAGAGCGAAGTATGATATATAAAACTTAACATTTGAGTATAACTTAGACTATTCTGTATAAATGTATGTTATATAACCTCCTTTCTGCCCAAATTAATATTATTATTCCAGAAGCATTCATGACTGGACTAGAAAGCACAGGGTTTTGTGTTGGGCATGGGGGAGGTTTAGTCCGAAAGATTGAAATTGCAATGATGTTGAACACTGTGATGTTCTTCAAGAGTGAAACTAAGCCAGTTAAATATTCACAAATTAAGTCAGAATAGTGCTGGGTGCCTCATACAGTATCAAAATATACTAATTATACTATTATAGTTCTGGGATTTTATTGCTAATTACGTGTTTATCTGCATTAAGGTTTCCTGTTGCCTGACAAGCTAACGTGGTGATAGCATCTCAGCCTTAACATTGAATACAAAGCCTAAACTCAGTTTTTCTTGTGTGATATTAAACCATTAATTTTTAATAATGTGCAATATTCTTTTCTGAATCCTTCATTACATTATCTATGACTTTTGATTTATTCAATTTTACTTAACAAATTGAGATATCAACACATAATCAGTGGAATCTATTACAAATTGTAGGAGGGTACACCTTTTTCATATACAACTGTGAGTTTTATCCCAATTATCACAAAAGAAGCAGTTGAGACTGCTTTCTCCACATGGATCTAAAGAATGCTGTAAGTGCTATGCACTGAATTCGAGCTAAAAGAAGGCATAAAACTACCTTGGGTTGCCCATATTTGATTATATTCTTGTTTCAGTTTTAACCAGCTGCCCCGTATGCTGGCTAACATTTCTTTAAAGCGTTTTTTTTTGACACAGCTTCAATGTAGTCAGCCAGTTGGCTGATGTCACTATTTTCCTATCACAGACAAGAACTATTATTCCAATTCATGTTTCTATTGCATTTTGAATGCTGCATTGTGCAGTGGAGCCTGAAGTCCTCCAGAAATACCAAAGCGCACCAAACTGGAATCTTGAACAGTCCAGAATCTACTACATCTCTTTGTATTCTGTCTAAGCTTCGTATGCTGATCTTACTAAGGAGACAGTAATAAGAAAAGCCAGTTGTTTGGGGGTTTTTTTGTCTTCTATATTTTATAAGAGGAACAAGATCTTAATTTAATGGTCTTCAAGCTTTGTGAGACTGGCAACATTAAAATTGAAAAGTGCTTGGATATCTAATGCAGCAGATGCACAGCTTGGTTTTTGAAATGGTGTAGTCAAGGGAAATGACTGATATATGTTAGATACCTAGCATTAACTTTGGACATCTAATGTGTGAAATTGCTGTATGTTAACCTATACTTCTCGTAACTAGAATCAGTTTTACATAGAGCACAGTTTCTTTTTTTGTTTCTCCTGCTATGATAATGGCAATATTCAAAGGAGAATTTGTTTAGTCCCCTTCTCTTCCCAAAGCAGAAAGCCTTTTCTTTGTTTTGGTTTGTTGTTTGTTTTTTTTTAAAATGCATGTGTTCATTATGATTCTGTACTGTGCACTCCACCTTCAAGTCTTCCAAGTTCTGTTTGAACACAGACCTTCTTTTCCTCTGATGACTTTCCTAGAACTTGGAAATTTTTTTTCTCCTGTTGGATGGCTTCTTAAGAATGAGCTTGCTGGCAGTCATTTAAAACCAGGAATGTTTTGGTGTAATTTTAACTTTATTAGTAAACTTCCCCCTTTTTTTTTTAATTTTACCCTGTATTTGCATTTCCCCCTTCCAGCCACTTTTTCGCCCAAGTTCTTTGCAAGTAGTTCGGTTCTGTTGAATGTATGCCTGTTTACATAATTCAGTGATGAGCCACAGAAAAACAAATCCCAGAACAACACTGTTTAGCTATCTTCTGAATGCTCTGAATGATCATAATCTTTGTCTTTTATGGCATTTCATTTACCTAAGCCAAATTGAAATGCTGGAAGTATAAATGCTTCCTGTTATGTTGCTAGCTACAGATAACAGCATTTACTTTGCAGTATAGGACTCCCTACAAAATATGGGTGCATACCTGCAAATAGTTTGGTAAATTTTGCATAGTTCTGTTGAAGTAAAATAACATTTGCAGGATACAAAGTTATTTTGAAGACTGGCAGCATTCATAATTCCAACAAACAAGTTTTTTATTATAACAAGGGCCCTGCATCTCTCAAAATCATCATGTTTTAATGGAACCTAAAGACTGTCAGGAGACTAAAAGCACAGTTTCAGATTTTTAGAAGTGTATTTCTTAATACTGTGTAGTTTGATGGATAATTTAAACCAAATCAGACTATGAAATGGAAAATTTAATTACCCTTATCTGCAAAGTTTTGTCATGTGGTAGAAAAGGAGAAGCTAATTGGGACTAATTTTACCTTTTGCCTGTAATTTCATGCCAAACTGGTGTAGTTTGGTTTTGCCAGGGATAAACTTATCTGACATTATGTTTGGTTACTGGGCATGCCAACATATTTTGATACTCCAAAAAGAAAAACAGTGAGAATGAGCGTGAAACAACCTAAAAAAATAATTTTAGACAGTTGTCTACTAAGTTACGGTATGTCTGGTAAGGCCGCTTGCTTTGATAAGCCCTTGTTCTTATTCCTACATTCTAAGAAGGATTTATTTTTAATTGATACTTGATTAATGCTGGAGTATATCACCAACATCACAAGATTGCGGAAATAAATGTGCCTAGAGCACCTTAATAGAATAAAAAAGGGCAAATTATGAAATGGTATTAAAATGTGGATTTCAGTTGGATTTAAAGTATTGATTCTTCACATCCACATTCATCATAAGGGAAGGTAGAAAAGTCCCTGTCTTGAACCCTTCCTGTACAGGAAATGTGAATGAGAACATTTTTGGACAAGTTGATTAGAATAGATACAAAGGTCACCCAGTAGTCTTGTGAGGGACCTGAAGGAATTCAGATTTAAAACTGTGTACCTGTTATCTGTGGCTTAAAGATTTTGCGTAAAACTCCCTCTACCTGAATAACAGGTGATAGGTTTTGGGGGTTTGGTTTGGTTTTTTTTTTTTCCCCTGAAAGAAGTCTCTATAATTAGTGCTGTCAAAAGATATGATATCAAAATGATGCATGAATTTGGCTATTTTAGACTTCACTTTCATGTTCTTCAGAGGAGTTGACGAATATGGGGACAAGGGGATTCAAGTAGTCCATTTAGATTTACAGAGGGCTTTTAGAAAGGTCTCTTATCAAGTTAGAGAGAGAGGCAACCAGCATACTTGAAGACTCTTTAGCTTGAGTAGCAAATGCGTAGGGTGGAATTAGCTCTTCAGTCTATAGACAGAGCACTGAAAACAAGTATGGTAGTGGCCTCTAAAATGAGAAGTGGTACAGAGAACAGTGTGTAATTACTTTTTCATACAGAGGCAGACCAGCAAAGTCATGACGATGCAGCTTAAAAATAAATGAGTACGTTTTTACATATCAGATTTTAAAATTCATTGGCATCTTTTTGACTGCTAAAACTAACTTCATACTAGCTCAAATGCAACACAAGAAATTCATGCAATACAAGTTTGCATTAAACATAGAATAGTATCCTGTTTAGAAAAATCCCTGAGCTAAAGGCTGCTGACAGCTGGGAACGGGTATCCTTGGAGTAGCCCTGTTTTTATGTTCTTTCTTTGGCAGTCACTATTAGCCACTGTCAAAGCTGGGTTTGTTGAGGTGGATGTCCTGATCTGGCACAGAATTGTAGTTCTTAATACTATTTGCAGTATGGTGTTCAAACATTTCCTGCTATTGTGTTTGTCAGTGTTTTGTGATTGATTAAATACATTCTTTAGAGTGAAGAAATTACAACAATTTCCAGTTCAAAGGTGATGGAGTTTTACTACTGACCATCATGATCTTCAGTGATCATCAGATTTTTTAAAACAAGTTATCGTACTCATACTCCACCTACATGTGGATAAATTCCACAGGTTCAAAATTATTGTCTTAAGATTGCAGAAATATTTAAATGCAGTTTAAATGTGTTCGTATTATACATACAGTTTACCCTCCTAAAACATCACAGTAAAACAATAGCTTGACTTGATAAATAAGTACCATTATCCCCAAAAAGGTGTCACTAGGTCAGAAGAAGTAAAGAAATATGTTTATTCTGGTATTGTGCCTGTAAATACTGGAAGATGCTTTAATTTCTCTGTCATTAGGCAGAGAAGATGAGAAAATTCTTAGCATGTCTATCAAGTAAAGCAGTTGTCTTTTAGCATGCCTTCGTTGTCTGTTGTGTATGGAGAGTTGTAGTCAGTCTACTGAGATGATTTTTCTAATTGAATGCAAGCTTGTCATTGCTGCCTTCTGCCTTAACCAGCTAAGGGAAATAAAACATCAAACTGAGGACTACTGTAAATTTAAAACCAGAACAAGCAGTGCCTAATAAATTATCTGCTTATTACAGCACTTCTTCTGATCAGTTCTTGGATGTTTTACTGTTTTAGCTGACATATGAGCTGATGTTGTTGCCAAATAAATGTTTTGTCAAAATTACAAAGCTGCTCAGAAATGAAATTTATTTTTGCTTTCTTCCCCTTTTGTCCACTTGACCACTTTTATTGCTTCACTTGAGATGTCTGCATAGTGCTTGAGAAAATATTTTTGAGTGATACACATGGCTGGGGAAACGCAGTTACAGCGCCCATTACATTGCAGACTGTCGTATTCATTAATGTATTGCATGGGTC